GCACGCGGAGTATACACATTGCCGAGACTTCGATTGGCAGTGTTGCTTTTATGCTCTGTTCAAGGATATCATATACAAGGTGTCCCAGAAGTATGTATGCACTGTTTGATCGTTAATATCTCTCTTCCCAAGAAGTCCTTTGCCTTGCTTCAGGTACCGTTTTGTAGAGCTAGCTTCAACTTAGATTTGCATTATGGAACGAATCACCCATCTTTCTTCATTACTGTAGGGTTACGGTAGAAACTTCAAAAAGGGCTTCAAAATCTTGTGAATAGTTGAGTATGGAACTCAGCGTCCTTAAAAACCCTATTACACAAGTGTTCACATCTTTTGAAAAAGTTTGAAACGGCAACCTTTTCCACATTGACACCATATGTTTCAAGTTTTTGCCGTAATCCTACAGTAATGAAGACTGATTGGTGATTCGCTCCATACTGTAAACATAAGTTGAAGCCAGCTCTATAAAACGGTACCTGAAGCAAGGCAAAAGACTTCTTGGGAAGAGAGATACTAACGATCAAACAGTGCTTACATACTTTTGGGACACCCTATATATTTGCTCCAAAATTCTTCCAGAAGTCACACAGAGGCCCTGAGTTGCTGGTTGTCGGTCTGTGGGGTTGATCTGCAACGAGAATACGTTGAGGAATGATTTACGATGCTTTAATCATGTGAGGGAGCAATCCGAAAGGTTTATTTCTGTTTTGGATTACTAACAAGGGAAGGATACCAAAATTAGTCGGCGATTGAAGATGAGATGCATATCAGTAGACGCGCCTTTGAACGCTGATTCCAAATCTGGTTTCCTTTTTTGCGGAATAAGTTTCCGAAGAAAGTTGTGGGTGTTCAAATGTCCAAATTTGCCAAGGTTTAGGTGGCCCAAAATTGGCGAAAAGCTGTACAAAAACACCGGAAAGTCGAAAACCATTTTTGCATCGAGTATATTGTTTGCAAGGAAGGAACAAAACCGGTGGAAAACCATAGGTGTTGTTTTAAAGCTTTTCTCTGATTTTAAGCCACTCAATGCTTGGCAGATCTGGACATTCAAGCGCTCATAACTTCTTTCGGAAACTTATTCCGCAAAAAAGAGAGCAGATTTGGAATCAGCGTTCAAAGGCGCATCTAATGATATACATCTCATCTTCAATTGCCAACTAATGTTGGTATCCTTCCCTTGTAAGAGGTCACTCGAATGGAGAATCGAGGGAGTTTCAGTCAAATCTTGATAATCTGAATTTTTCCCTTGTTACGGTAACTCTCACTGCGATTAGTTGCATTTATAAGTCACTTCATAAACTGCCTATGCCATTTTATTAGGTTGGCACATAAGTAATGCAACTTTTTATATAACTTTTGTCTCTTTGAACATAGCACATTCATTGTTTGGCAATATAAGGACTATGATGTAAGCTTCTAATGCGCACATTTTTGCCGAATTTTACCGTGTTATGTAAGGATTACGGTAGGGTTACGATACTATAGGAAAAATTTTAGAATGCATCAGATTTTGCTGAAAATTGACCTATAGGGCTTATTCGACATGCTGATCACAAAAATGAAATCCGCTTCGCATGAAAAGGCCTCGTTCGTGAGATCAAAAAATGAATTTCATTTTAGCGACAAATGAATAAAATATTAGTGTTCACCGTATAGGATTACCCTACAGTGCGAAGTTATAGCAAATTCTGACTTTTCGCAGCTTATTATTGACAAATTGCCTTCAAAACTTGGCGCATTTGACTTGTTCAACTTCTCAAAGGCGCCCCACCTTAATTTGTGTTTAAATTTCATTTCTTTTTCACTGATTCCAATGTGCCAACTTTCAGCTACATGCTGCCTATAATTGCTTTTTCATATGTTTGAATCAGGTTTCGTAGGGTTTCATGTTTGCCAAAAAGTCGTGAAACCTCGATTTTCAGCAGTTTTCAAAAATGCTTAGATTTTTTGTACTACGCTATCAAAAATCAAACGGTTTGCGCAGACTTGCAGCTTACATCACGGTCTACAAGATATCACAAAATGAGATTGCTACATAAAATAAGAAAAAAGTTACGCGAAAAGTTGCAAAACTCATGTGCCAACCTAATAATACGCTGTGTTCAGAAGAGATGTTGCAGAAAAAGTTGCGTCATATAGGTGCCAAACTGAAACTTATTGTTAGTAAAGCCCTTTTATATGTCGAGACTAAGTTATAGTTTGCGTTAGAGACAAATGACAATCGCACCCTCACTGGTTAACATAAAATGTGAGAAAATAAACACCTTAGCATACAAGTTATGAGCTGTGATTTTCCCTTTTTTGTTTCAAGCTAAGCGCAGAGTAGCCATGTCGGTACTGTAAAAACGCCGACGTAACTGTTCAGATAATCGCCGGGGGCAGGCGGCCATGCGATTTATGGACCCGCAGGTACATTCCGCTGAGAGAAAGTACTCAACTCGGTAATTAAAACATCGATGACACCTCTGCATGTAGAGTGACTGTTGCTAGGCGTAGTCCCGAAACTGCATAACATGAGTCAGAGCGCTCGCTGAAAGAAATTATTTGACGACCGTTTGCAGAAAATTCTGCATTGCTGCCCGCTGGCAGAACCATTCACACTAAAGGAAGTACCGCTCGCTGAAGGTTTTACTAGTCCCCAAAATTCTGCGACTGTCTGCAGATAAGCGAGTTTGCGGACCGCCTGCCCCCGGCGACTATCTGAGTGTACAATTACAGTTGGAAGGCTGGGCATAACGGTTTATAGCAAACTTACTTACCTGTGGTTATCCACAGCGCTACCGAAATTAACGTTAGAACGCGCGAAACGGCGAAAACATGCGTTCCTAAAGCTTTACAATTTGAATTTGGACGAGTAGAGCAGTTGCCCCAAGGTTGACATGCAGAATCGCTGCGGCCTATGAGGTAGTCGTACTCTGCCGAAGAGGAAATCCACAGTTGAAGAGGCCCGCTTAAGAAGTAAGTTCCACAGCTTTCCGATCGTATTTCTTGCTTCTGGTTAAACTTTATGGCCTCCTAATTGCGCGATGGCGTGCCCAAGGGGCCCACTTTCGCATGGCCATTCCACCCCAAGAAGTTACCTTTTTCAGTTGAAAAAATGCGGCAATTGATTTTTATAAATACCCGTATAATTAACGGCTACAAATTGTAAATTAAGTGTAGCTATCGATTGTCTGCGAAAAAAACTGCGGCAAAAACGCGACGATGTCCAAACCACTAGGGTTTTCGACCGTTTCGAGTAGTCGAATATCCAATATTTTGAATTTATTTGATAATCCGAATAGTCGAATATTCGCTGGAATTCTTGAGAACTATCTCGGTTAAGCACCCTCGTATTTTAAACATCATCTAACACGGCCCACTAAAAATATCCTCACTAAGTGTTCCCTTGCGGAAGGAAGTGTCAGTTGGCACCGTAGAACACACTGATATTATAGTTTTCCCACGCTCAAGGGATGGAGATTGATGAGGTTTGGGACAGCAGAAGCTGATATGGAACTTAAAAACACTTGTGATTTGCACTAGAATCACAGTGCCCATCATAGAAGTACTGGAGTCAAGCTAAGCTTGGTGTTTGGGAAAAAAGGCAAATTCGTAAAACATTTGGACATGAGATACTTAACCTTGCAGACGTGCTGCCTTGCATCATTGACAAGCTCCAACATTTTCCTTTACAAGGCAAAATTCTAATGCTGAAATAAGCATATGGCTTGTTTACAACGTACAGCCGACCGTATGCCATCGGACTACTTGTGCATAGTATTATTGCAAACAATAGTATGTTGAAAAAAATTATTCGGAAATTATGCAAAGCAATACTTTTTCACGCTCCAAGCCAGCCCAGTTGGCCAGAAGGCTTTTTTTGGCCAACTATTTGGAGCATAAGTAAAGTTTAAATGATTTTTTTTCGCTTTTTGGCATAGTTCCTCGTTTTCTTGTTTTCTGGCTTGATATTCCGCCTTGAAAGTACAAACTGTATAAAAACACATAAGTCTTGAACCTTTTTTTGGCTTGGACTATTCGTGCGCTTGAGAATCTATGATTTGGCATAGAGGCCGAACCAGATGTTTGTTCCCCCTATATCTGGCCCATGAATAGATGTGAAAATAGCGACCATCGTTATACATTGCACTCCGATTCGTGAATGAGCGTTTCGAAATGCTAGGGCTGTGCCAAGACTTCTACATTTTTCTTTTCTTTTGCGATATCATGATCATTTGCATTTATCAGCTCTTTTTTATCAGTTTGCCTCCAAGTGTTTTGTCAAGAAGTCAGTTCATTCGCTGACGAGCAATGGTGAACGGCTCAGCTCCAGCAATTGTTCCTTCAAAGCTGAGAACAAAAATTTATTTCGAAGGCTAGCGATCTCTATATTAACACTTAGGCCCCGCCAGAGTGCCGAAGCCACGCCAGCGCTGCGCCGGCGCCGAGCCAGCGCCGAGCTGTCCCATTTGTTCGGGGCGGGGCTAGCTGACCCTGTGCGGGCAAAGGCTACCGGAGCTTCTGGCAGATTCGATCAATAGTCGGCGCATCTACCTGGCTGAGAACTAGGTCAGCTAGCCCCGCCCCAACGAAATGCACGTGTATCGATCGAAACAGCGCCGGGGCAGCTCGGCGCCAGCTCGGAGCTGGCTCGGCGCCGGCGCAGCGCTGGCGTGGCTTCCGCACTCTGGCGGGAGCCTTACATAGCATAATTAGTCTGTTGTCTAATAGGGATAGAACGTGGGTAAAGAAGATCGCTTTGCCAATGAGAACATTCTAACAATAGTGGACAAATCCAGCTTTTTCAATAGTGAAGTGTGTTCTATGTATGTTTCAAGTATTTTTTACAATCTGCGATCCTGCACATTCATTTCGTAAGATGATGGATGATGCCTGGATGATCTTGTCTCTGCACACGCTTTTAGAATTAGATCTCTAATTTTCGCTCGTATGTGGGGTGCAGGAAGGTGAAAGCATAGGGATATGTCCAAGATGCCGGCAACTATATCATCAGCTTAGTCTTATCCGATAGGCGAATGACTGATCGTCGCCTTGCTCAGTTCCATCCGAGATCTTTGTCTAGAAATCAGAACATTATTGAGGCGCTGTTTTTGCAATAAATTATACTTACGCCATAGACGAAGCGATAGACTTTCCCATATAGTTGCCTCTCCTTGCATTCAAGTAGTCCTTGTAGTGGAAAGGTATCAAAATTAACCTGAGATGATGTAATGTAGGCACGAGTATGAGGACATGTGAAGGCTACTATTCGGTTCAAATTTTCGGTGTCTGTCCCAACTCGACATAGAAACGTTCATAAAAACCAACATCTACGTTGAGGAACAGTTTCGAAAAAGTCGTGGCAAATGAAGAGCTTGAAACAAATGCGGTTTATTTGACAAGGCTTCGGTTCTGCGATAGGCCTGTGTCATCAGCATTGATGAACTTACTGCTCGAAAACCCAAAATTGTAGTTGAATTTGACAATTTTTGAATAACTGGAATTTGGCTTACCCGTCAATACAGTGAGTGAATTCCCAAACGAATGATGTAGTGAAGAAAATTTCCCAATGGTCCGCCCTTATATCGGTGAAAAAGCCGGAGATAAAGTAGAAGCAAGTAAGCTTTACTACAAATACACCGAACTGCAGACACGATTGCAAGAAGAACTTTACTTCTGATGGATGAATTTTCCTCTTTGCCACCTAAATCAAACATGTTTACTATGGAGGGACCGCGCATTTCTGGTGAACAACAAAAGCCTTGTAATTTTTTTATTTTACGTAGCATGATTTAGCCATTTTCTCTAAAGGTGTCTACTGAAAAACACCATGTTTGAAACACCAAAATGAGAAGCTTCATGACGCATAGGTTTCCGAATTCTGATAAGAAAAGACAAAGTTTTTGAAAGAATGATTAGAGAGCTATACTAACTTTAAGTAGCTTTCTGATGCGATATATAGTGAAGATATCAAACAATAAAATCAACCCGAATACGGTGACACCAGTACCAAAATCCAGCACCTTGCCGAGCAGAAATCCGCACGTCGTAGGCGCAAAGGACCATAAATAATTGTATGATGAGAAGACGATGTAGCAATCATGTACTGGAAATTAGGCATTAAGGGAAAAAAGATAGCATGGTCAGGGCCACGAGATGGGCAAATGTGTCAAGCTGGAAATCTTTTCGAATGGAAAGCAAAGGGGATATCGTAATATACGTTTACATGCACCATTTGATTTAACTGGCTTGGCTCTCGGAAGGCTGGATTTCGTGACCTGATTAAGGCTAGCTAATGATCAGTGAGCAAGCGCGCGAGGGAGAGGCAGGCTGCGTCGTGAGCGCGAGCGGCCTCTATTAGATCACAAAGCCCCGCCTTCCGAGAGCCAATCCCGTTGAATCAAATGTTACATACACTCTCTCGAAAGTCGCTACACAGTTGACATGCGATAACACGACCTTGCTCGCGCGCCGTCTTCAATAATCCATAATTTTTCTTTGAATTGTAATCAAATGTGTCGGTTACAGCGCACACATAACGATATGATCAAGGACTTGGAATATGAACTGGCATGGACTAGGAGGAGCATAGCGCAGAGTATTGTGAAAAAAAAACTGTCACTGAAGGATGTGGCAAGCTTCATTTTTTCTTGAAAAATTCCCATTACCACAAAATGATAAAACGGTTCGTTTGCAACGCACAGATGTCGATATGTCACGAAATTTGGTGTGTACGCGCAATTCGATTTGGGAACAGGGTATGAAAAATTATGATAAACTCATGTGATTAAAGAGCGTGCTTAGCTTTTTTACAATTGCCCACGTAAGGTAGGCAAAACCTACATTTCACGTAAGTTTTCAAAATTTTTGCTCAATCTGTTCTACACCTAAAGTTTAGTATATAGTAACAGATTGGTTTCAAAACTCCCTCTCTTTTCCTCTAGGATCCGGAAACACGCGCGTCCTTTTGAGAAGAAAGCGCGCTCCAATCGAACAACCCACGGAGCTGCCGGAATCGAGGGAGAAATCGTAAAAATTGATAGTGATAAAGGCGAAGTCGTTTCGTTGATGTCCATTTGCCACTCTCGTGCTGGTCCCTACTTATGAGCATCCGCCTCCATTCAATAATCCACACCCACCTTTGAAGTACGGTATAAAATGCAAGAAACCAAGGAACCACACTATTGCAATCATTATGATGGTGTTTCGCTGTGACAAAAGATTCCGACTTGCAATTGGAAAACACAGCACAATCAATCTGGAATATTCAATCAGTGATCTTCTCAAATCTTTTAACCATAAGGCAAACCTGTTGATTGAAGAAATTAGGTGCGAATAAACGCTCACATCCCATATTGCTACCATAAAACCGCCGATTAACTTTCCAGCGATAGTAGAAGACGAAAACAATGACTGCCTGCAAAATTTCCTTTATTGAGTTTGCTGGTAGCTATAATTTCGTGATTGTTCCATTGCCAGCTAGGGCCCAAGATCCTATACTCTGTCCAAGGAAAGGAACGAAATGGGCTGAGATGGAACTGGTTTTGGTCACAATATGAAGCATCAATTACTAATCTATAGTTTTAACTGATGATTTAGCGTGCACATCTTTATCAGACAGCAGGAAACCGGCGCATTTATGGAAATGGTCATAATTAAAGTTTGTAAGTATGGATGTGTATACCAGAAATCAAGTGTGCATCAAAGACCGGCTCCATCTCAGCTCCGTTCCTTGCCCTTGGACAGAGTATAGGATTTTGGTGCTCTCCCCGAGACTCCACAGGAAGGGGAGCTTGGTGAAAGCCCGTGGTTTTTTTTTTTGATTACTGAGTAAATTCAAAAACAATATTCAAGAACTCAAAATTAAGATAGAAAATTTTGTCGTATAATATCATCCATACTTCTTATGGTATTACTTATAAACTGCGTTTCATATCAGGTTAGAGGAACACGCCATTTTTTGAGAATTGTGAGACTTTTTGGAAGAAACTCAAAACCCTTTGGTACTACGCGAGAGAGCACAGTTGGAAAAAGCATGCGCGGCATAATGAAAACCTTTGCCAATTTTAGGAATGTTTCTGCTCTGAATACGAATTTTTAGCGGTATATTAATGTTGAAGCCTTTTAATCATTCAAAACTGCAGGCTTTCGACTTGAATTTTTTGTAAAGTTATTCTCGGACGACTCCAAAATGCTTTGGAGTCACTGCGCTCCAATGTCTCCTTTTCTGTGGTTCAAGCACTCTAATTAGCATTTACCAAGGCTATGAGATTAATTAAGCTTTTTCGATATTAGATTGGTCCGAAAGTTCTGTCCCACCATTTTCAAAAAACCGTCACTTCTTCCTAACACAATGTTTTTGCAAGAGTAAAACCATATTAGAAAGAGCAATTCATGTAATTTCTGAAACTGAGTTGGCTGCTATTCATCAAGTTCTGAATGCAGAGATAAAATTGAGGAAAGGAATTCATTTCAATTTCGGAATTTTAAAGCAAGCCCGTTAAAAAAATACAAAACAGTGCCATAAAATCCAAAACAGCTATTATCCTAGACTGTTTCACCCCCTCTTTCTGGCTGAGCAAAGCTCGCGTTGATCGAGCTGTTCTTCGGAAAGTTATGATTTTTTGAAAAAAATGTCAAAATATCAATTTTCTCAGAAAACTGATTTGTTGGCATTTTTTCTTGAAAATCATAACTTCTTTAAAAGAGCTCGATCAGCGCAAATTTTGCTCATCTGGAAAGAGCGGATCAAAAAAAAAACCTAGGATACTGGCTGTTTTGGATTTTATGGCACACTTTTGGATTTTTTAATGGGCTTGCTTAAAAATCCCGAAATTGAAATGAATTCCTTTCCCCAATTTTATATGTGCATTCAGAGCTTAATTAATTGCAGCCAACTTAGTTTTAGAAAGTGTGGTTTTACTCTTGCAAAAACATTGTGTTAGGAAGAAGTTACGATTTTTTGAAAATGGTGAGACAGAACTTTCGGACCAACCTAATATTTTGTTTGACGCTTAGCCAACCAGTTGAACCAGTCGACGTGTCCTACTGAATTTTTTGAATTTTCGGAACTAATCTTGAGGCTACGAGGCTAAAAACCAAGTAAAGGTGGTAAAGATAGTTGCAATAGCAAAAACATTGACTCTGGCGGAATGACGTCTGCGTGGCCGAAATAAGTGCTTAACGTTTGCTCTAGTTAAATACATAATCTAAAGAATCTCAACTGCTTACTTCATTGCAGGACTTCAGAAGTTTGAGGTCATAAACTCTAGTATGATTGGAGCCTTGAAAAACGCGAGAAGAATGCTGGAATTTCCTAAACTTTAAACATAGCTTTGTTCATCTCATATCCTTGGTAAAAGCTAATAGAGCGTTTGAAAAATAGGAAAACAGACGATTTGAAGCGCAATGACTCCAAAGCATTTTGCACCACTCAAGAAGAGTAACGCTCTCTTTTTTGAGTGCGCTGGGCTCCATGTGCAGCAGATATCTTAGGCATTGCTGCCACGACATTACAAAAAATTCTGAGTAGAAAGATTGCAGTTTTGGATGAAAAAAGGAGCCTCGTTCGAGGTGTTCGTATAATTATGAACCGCACTTCATCTCTGTCATCATCAATCTGTTTCGTTGTGCTTAGTCAACGTATGTAATCTCACGCTTCGTTAGCTCTTACTACTAGCGCTTTTCAAGGAAAAAATCTTGTAAGCACAAGCAAACTTCGAGTAAATTCAATTTCTTGTTCTCTTAGTCATGTTCACCTACATGATAATCATTGGAGTGCAGTATAATAAGAAGAATGATAATGCTATCATATTAGCAATGCAATGTGAGAGACAAAGCTGTTGAAATGATTGGGATATTTTGCCGGATAGGAAAAGGATTAGTACAGCGGCTCCATTAGTGCATAGGCCAATCACAGCAAGCTAAAAGAAATTTTATTCATCGCTTCTTTTCATCCATAATCGGGATTAAAGAAGCAAGATTTCAAGCAACATAGAAAATATAATCAAACACCTTACCCCTCCTACAATGCTTGCTCCAATAACATTGTCCGTTGTTAAATTTTCGAGCATTGTTTGATGCCAGTATTATTATGCTAAATCGATCCTCTAGATTTGAAACCAGATTTCTGCGAAGACTGACAGGTATGCAGATTAAATGAACGTCTGTAAGGCAAACATTAAGCTTTATCTCATTTTTTGTGCCTTTGAACGGAGCATTTCATTATAATTACGAGCTAGCGATAGTAAGTATAGTCAAAACTAATTCGAAACTTGTTTAGGAATATGTAAATAATCATAGAGTTGACACTGCATAGTTATACGGTAAGAAAACCTTCTTGAAAAACAGCATTTAATGAAAATTTTACGTTAGATACTTGAGGTGCAATCACAATAATTATGCAACGTTTTGCAGTAGTTATGTATAGTAGTATTATGGTGTCGCAAAATTTTTACCGTTTTCATTTTCTCATGCAATAGCTATTATTTTCATTGAATAAATTTTGCGGTATCATTCGACGGGATACACATTGGATCGGGATCCAAGATGATCTCCCGAAATGTCGAAAAAAATCTTGCAGATCTCGCAGATCTTCTTTAGTTCCGGCTTCGAACTTTGAGTAGAACAAACTGTGAGCAAACGTTTGGGTACTACGTTTGGGTACTATCTTGCAGAGCTGCCTTCTTTTGTCGAATAGGACCGCAAAACTCATTCAAAGATAGATGATTATGAGTTATTGCGGGAGAAAGTAGAAAATTAGGGACACCTTGTTAGATTTCTCGTACTAACAAGCTCTTGTATGTTTGGAGCAAAAAACCACACAAAATAAATGAAGTGGGTAAATCTCTGCAGGACTCAGAAAGCGATCCTTGGCCACCGAAGTGCGCTATTTATAATGAAATAAGCTTTTTCTTCTGAGTAAATACCTGTTCCAAAGGTCTTTTCCCGGAAGAAAAACGCTACCTCATTATAAGTCCAAAAACCTAAAAATGAAGAATCAACATTTGAGGTTATTTGTACATGTGAGTGATTTTATGCCTTGCAAGCGACTAATCAAAGCGTATTCAAGGTACCCAATATTCTCAAATGAGGTGACATTGTGTTTGCGCAAATGCAGAAGATGAAACGCCATTTATAGTGCATGCAAAACAACTTTTTGAGGACGAATGCTCTAATCACATGGCCTTCAAAAATTGCAGGTTGTGTGATCCGGTTGAATTCATGGAAAAATTCAAAGAATCCAAGAATTTACGTTTTGAAAAACCTCTCCTTTGTCCTGGAGACTTTAAAGTTTTTGAAGAGAGGACATAAGTCTCGATAGTTGCTCGAAAGTTATTTTTCGTATCAAATCGCGCGCTTTTGCTGCCACAAGTGTTTCAATGAAGCAAATAGGGTATTTGTTAAATTCTGCAGTACTAATGTGAGATGACATGCTTTTGAACACAAGAGAAACGGGTTGTGTAATGATGGTTAGTTAGCATTGATTTCATGAAGTTATCAGTCATGATAGAGTAAATGACGCTATGGCGCTAAGACAGCTTGCAGTTGCCTGGGACCGAAAGAGCTTGTCATATGTTATACATAACCTACAATAAATGATGTATCTGCTTCAGTGCCTCACTAAAGAAGTAGGATCGTTAAACTCTACAAATCAACGTTGCTTGCTCAAGCGTAATAGACCGAAAGTTTTCTTGAACTCTCATTGCTGACAATAAGTGCAACCACTCAACTATAAAATTCATGAGGAAAAGCGCGAACAGCGCTCTTATTTTCAAGATGGTTATGGCTGGAATGAGTAGCAGTCTTAGATGACACGGAACGCAGTGAAGTCAGTGAACGAAAAAATGCCAGCAGGGTTGATCAAAGATTTGAAGAGGTCTTCGGGTGTTTGATGCATGAAAAAAAACGGACGGATATACAGTAATACAATGGCGGATATACAATGTCGCAAACATCAGTCGCGTAACTTCGTAAATGTTATATAAGCGATCTATACGACTTTGAATTTCAATTATCATTAAGAATAAGTTTATAGTTTGATTTAAATGCGCCTTAGTTGTCTTGAGGGGGACGTGTTTGAGGTTCGAGCCAAAAATATGAAGGCTGTCAAGGGTGTGTGCCCTTCTGAACCGCTCCGTCCTAGCGCTAAATACCCTGCCCGGGCAACGCTGATTACTTCGCCTTTCTTATAATCTAGCAGAGTTTTCAAACATTTTTCGAGCATTCCAAAGCAAGTGAGGCACACGATAATGTTAGTGAGGATGTTCGAATTACGAAGACAAAAAGTTGGAAAGGTTGCATGTTTCTAAGGCCATTTCGTTTTCTTCGCCCTTCCCAATTTTCAAAACACCATGAAGTCTGCACGTGTAAGCTGAAGAATTTACCTAAGCCGCTTAAATAAACCATTTTCGAGTT